AAACGGCATAAAAGTAATTAAAAAATTTTTCAATTAGTCTTAATTACATATCTTTCTGCCTCTTTCTCCGTTTCTTGTCTAGTAGCACGATCCATTTTTACAATTGATTGATTTCGATGACCTGCAAAGAATAGTCTCACGCTTTGAACGTTTCCTCCTTTCTTCGTATAAGAGAGACAGACAGACAATTCGCAGCTCCAACGCGCGCTGCTGCAATTCAATTACATCACCTATCGTGCAATTGCTCGCCTCTGTAACCGTTTCTTATTATATAATAAATGCCTTTCCCGTCCCAGCGAACATCGCCGTACATAGTACTCGACGAATCTTACGTCTGTCTTACTAATCGGTTCTTCCTTGATGTCTTCTCTTTACAATAATATTCAGTCTTTAAGATTAATAAGAATAAATAAGGATTTATAGACGTAATGCAAGGACAATAAGAGCCAGACGCTAGATATTGAGTGCGGATAAAACAATCTTTTGTATGCTATTTATTTGAAATTGACTATGTCAAACGTTTCGACCAATTCATGTGGTCCCTCTCAATAACAATAAAACCTATCATGTCGGCAAATTAACATATGTTATAACGGTCACGGTCAGAATATATAATTAATGTCATCGTGTAGGAAAGAGACATTAATTATACTGTATATTCTGATCGTGGCCGTTGTAACATATGTTAATTTGCCGACATGATAGATTTTAATTCAAATGTTGATTGTCATTAAGAAGGACCACACGAGTTGGTCGAAACGTTTGACATATAGCGAATTCGGTTGGTTGCACTAGTGCGCACTGAGTGCACACTAGGCTTTGTTACCAGTCAATTGTTATATTTAAAGATCATCTTAAATACCTCTTGTAATATTTCTTACCCAGAAAAATGGTCTGTACAACGTTTACGCGGATCACTTTTTGACTAAATGCTCTTTGAACGTGTATCGAAGACAAAGTTAAATATACAGGGTGTCCTGAAATTCGCGAATCAAAATACCATAGCAAGAATGTCATTGAAAAAATAAATTAAAAAGTTATTTGCCATTTTTCGTTCCGAGCAGTAGATTTTTTAGATAAAAAGGTTCAAAACAGGCCAATCATACATTACGGTTGAACGGAAAATGGCAAATAACTTTTTAATTTATTTTTTCGACGACATTCTTGCTATGGTATTTTGATTCGCGAATTTCAGGACACCCTGTATAGAATTGGCTATAAACAGGCCTTGGAATTCGCTAATAGTCAATTTCAAATAAATAATATACAAAAGATTGTTATATCCGCACTCAATATCTAGCGCCTGGCTCTTATTGCCCTTGCATTACGTCTATTAATTAACGTTTTATATACAGAGCCTTAAAAATTATTATTTATAAACTCACATAAATAAGGATGTCTGTGAGATGACGTCTTAGATGATACGTACGAGCAATGGAGAAATTGTCGAAGGAGGATGATTTTTGCAACTTGTAAATATAAAATTTATTATCTGAGCCGCATAAAGTCGATTTTATTAGATACGTGTAAGTCCGATATTAATCTCGTAGATTATTTAGAAACGAGAAAGATTATATTCTATGAGACTGTATTTAATACTTTTCATATTGTGGACCTTTTCAATAGACGCCGTCCAACTTCTAATTTACTTATAGATACCATTAATATCATTGGTATCTATTTTTTTTCTCTCTGTTGAAGAAATTGGCGAAAAATTTTCCTCCCACGAGAGAGGAGCTGTGTCGAACGTGGGACGTAAGTGGTACGAAGAACAGTAATTTGCCCAACTTATTGTCAGTAAGAAAGTATCGCTTCCATTTACGAGCTGTATAATTGAATAAGAATCTAACATCACCTCATTAGAATAGTTTTGCAAGTATGCAGTAATTATCGAGCCGCGCCGAGTCACTGTTAGCACTTACCGTTTCTCTCGCTTTCTCCCGCAGATAATTCTCAGGAAGAAATGTTTCATCGGTCGTTTAGCTTCAGCTCGGTCTCACAATGAATGCTAACGCGAACGCTTCGCGCTATTGTCATTGAGTAAAAGTAAGGATGGCAAATCGGTCTACTCGGCCTGTCCGAAACCGGATCTCTTCTTCAAGCGACTCTTCCAATTTTTTGTATCCTCGTCTCTTCCACTTTGTCCTATGTCACGTTTTAATGAACGTCGCACCGCATTTTTCACGTAGATTTATTTTTCTTTAGGTTGTTTAATATTATCTTTTTACACCTTCGCATCCGCGCGCGCTCTCTTCTTTAAAATCAATATTTTCGAGACAAGATGCTCGTCAAATAATTGATTTTTACTCAAGACCTTATTATCCGTCGCGTTGTTTGACGACTCTACGAATTTTCAATTTTGCAGTTGTTGAAATAGAAAATAGCCTGGGCTTTCAGCTTCGTGCGAAAAACTAATTTCCAGCATTGAATAGCAACTGCGTCGGTCTCAGACGGCGTCAAATAATGCGCGTTCAAGTCTCTGTTCTCCTTACTGCTGCCGTTCTTATAACAGACAATAAAGCGGACTCGGCGGAGAATTACTTCCAAGTACGGTATAGTCGGGCAGGAGTTTCGGCGGACTCGAAAGGCGATGCTGATGTAACACGCGCTAGAAACGTTCCGATGCGATTTGCGCTTTCATCCTTGGCGGTAGGTTCACAACGTGACAGCGATCCGACACCGTGAGAAAATCGGCCGAGCCATAGTCGCGAACGGGAGGAACTTTCGCGATTGACGCACGTCGTCGGGAAATTCGATTTCTGCACGGACGAGTAACTGGACGGCCCTCGATACTCCTTCGGAGATCGTCCTCGCGTTCGAGCAGCGGGCAGACCGGACTATCCACGACAGCGAGTATCCCGACAATGAAGAGAGCGGTCGCTGATGCGCGCGGATCCCCGGGTGTTCGGCGTTCCTGTACGTGCTTCCGGTTCCCCTACGCGCCGTTGCGTCCATTGTTCGACGCGGCTCGATACGTACATTGTGCAACGCCCGACGTTTTACCATTGACGTACTCCACGCCCCCGTGGCCCGCCACGTGCATCCTTAATGACGGTCCCTCTTTCTCTTCTCTCTCCTCCGGCGCCTCCTCTCGCTCGCGGGTATCGATACGTCGTCGATGGTACCGCGCCGTGGGCGCTTCCGGTGGTACCGCGCGAGCCTAAACCGGCTCGTCTGCGAGGTCGCGGGACCACGCCGGGCATTATTCACGCGTGTACGTTCAGGAGCATTGCACCCGGCCGCCGTCACGATCATGTATGCTGATCGCGGAAGAAGACGAGTGTCCGCGCGTAGAGTACAAACGCGAAATTAAGGAATGGGTTAGAATGGATGTAAGAAAGGTGAGTCGACGAGAGACACGATTTAGAAGCAGTTGAAAAATTTATTTGGAGTATTAAATAATAGACGATGCTTGCGCAGCAAAATGAAATCATTTGAAATATTGTGTACGATGATTTTTCGACGACGAAATTAAATACCTCAGTTAGGATTTTGTTATGATCTTTGGTCAAATATAAATGTAGTCTTTTTGGTGACGTTGCGGTGATTTTTCTCTGGAAAAATTATCTCGTTCCATTCCCGCGACAATTTCTGTTATCTTTCCACATTTTAATTAAGTGTCCGCATCGTTTCTTTATTGTGAAAATAATTGAGGAAAAAAGTCTCATTTCGCAAATGCAATTTGGCCCGCAAGCGCGGTTTATTTCAGTTGAGTACACGTGTGGGATTACGAATTTTTGAGGGAGAGCTTGTCGAAGAATAAACTTATACCACTTTCCGAAATAATACTCTTCCAGATATAGAAGAATATCGACGAATCTGACAAGATTACGAAAATAGCTGTATATATACAATACAGTCTACGAGTCTACAGTGATTTTACAGTATTGCATCTATTATAAGCAATTTATACGCCGGGAATGCGAAAGGCGGAATCAATTTTTAATCCGGGTCATAGCCGACACAATGCTATCTCGTTATCTTAGAATATCAGCAGGCGATAGGTATCGATCTGCTTTGAATTAATAAGCCCGTCGCGATTTTAAGTCGGCGGTACAACAAACCGTCCTGGCTTTTGTTGCGTCACAAACAGTTTCGAAACGGTAGTCGGGTATTGTCAAATTTCAACGTTTATTTTTAACGATTTGCCGACAAGACTCAGTGGGACAGAAAAAAAATATGAAAACCTACTCCTTTTTCTTTTAAACTAAACAAATATGGTCAATGAGTAGGTGTCAATCGTCCGGAACACAATCGCAATTGTTTCACACAATGCAATCGCTACGAGAATAGCGTATCGCGCGAGATTATCGTGAGACAGATTGTTTCGAGGAATTGTAAAAAATAACTTGGACATTGATCGACCGGCACACGGGTGTGATAAGTGCAAATCCTATTATTGACAATCCTCGAAGTTCCGGATATATGGCATTACGTCACCAATCCGAACGTTCGATATAAAAATAATACACGCGGGAAAGAACTAAATAAATGTATAGAAAAGTACAGAGCACTAGAATTATTGTATTCGGAGTTTTTTCGGAGTTTTGTTCATTTTTAGACTTTCTGAAAAGTCAAAGGTATCCAAGCGTCTTGGCATTTCAAGATAAAACATGACAGATTAGATTTATTAAAATTAATATATCGAAAAATTCAAAGACTTTCAGAATTCATGAATACTTGTCCGCGGCTCCAAAACTACGTCGACTATTCGGATTTCGGAAAAATTCGATAATTGAAAAAAAATTCTGAGGATAATTTCCAGGGTAGTTCTCGAAATAAATCTCGAGACTCACACAAAGCTGCATAGAATTCGAAGGACCAGGTTTAGAAATATTAACCTCCTACGCAGTGAGTATATTCTTATAAGTCACCTTTTCCCAACAAAAAGCAATACAGAACTTTTGTCAATCGTATCTCGGCAAAAAAGTTTCAAGAGATAATATAGAATAAAATATTAAAGAATCAATGGGCAACAATTAAAACTTTTACGCACTTACCTCGACCGAAGGCCGATGTAAAGAAAAAATCCAGAAGCCGCCACTCCGGCCGCCAGTAAACTCATACTATTTGAGATCATCATGTTTCTCTCGTTCAATTCGAAAGACGAACGAAAACGAAAATCTTTAACGAAGATGAAGCGGAAAAAATGTTTCTTCGGACGAGTTTCTGCCCTCGCGTGAAACTGATGATACCTTTAATACGAGGAAATAACTCACGACGCGATTGGAAATACGCACTCTAGTCGACTGTTGATCGCGCGTTTCGAGATATGATATGATATTACATATACGATATACAATCGATACCAATCGTCCGACGTAGCGTGGAATCATTCCGGAGCGATTAGCATTGTCGCGCCAAGCGTGAGCAAAGACGTGACCGGAAAGATTTTGTTAATTCACTTGAATTGTAATTTATCATGCGCAAATGTTCACTGGAAATACGCTTTGGAAAGTTTCTTTCTGCAAAATGTATTTAATTTAACCCTTTCGCACATCGAGCTGGATTCGACATGCTACTTTGCAGCGAATTATTTATATATTATTCTCGAAGCATTCGAATCTATGCATCGATTAAAATCAGCAAGTTTTACTTTTGAAATCCCTAAATTTTTCTGAATAATATAAATTCTTTTATTCGCTTAGATTGAATTGAGGGTATTACTTCGTGGGAAATAATTTGATAATTTTTGCCAGAAAGAGGTAAATTTAATTTAAATTTTATTTGTTAATTTGGAGAGACAATAATGGTATGGCTTTTACTTTTATATAGCAATTCTTGAATGATGTATTATATAATTTCATATATTCATGTTTAAATTTTTTAATATTTAATTAAAATGCATAAAATTTGTTATTTTTAATCATTTAAAAATACATTAAAATAATAATAAATAAATAATAATAAATAAATTAACAAATAATCGTTCCATGAAATTAAAGAATTTTTATTTGAATCTTATTTTCCTACATGTTTTGCAGGATTAATCTGGATTACTCTTACAATTAGATCATATTTGATTTTTCGAACGCGCAAATTTTCTGGACAGTAAAAAACATCATATAGAGCTGAGAGAGAGAGAGAATGCATTGAACAGCTTCTACTCTCGATAATTAAATGTGTACGTCTATTTTTAAAAGATGGTATATCAATTGTATATTCAATTCTCATCGATTTTCTGTGACCTTTAACACTGAATAGCACTCGTTAAAAATATTCCCTTCCGATATCAATATTAGCCGAGTTCAAGAATCCAAAGGGATTGAAAAATTACATAATTAAATACTTGACAAATTTAAAAATTAAAAACTTGAGTATTTTATGATCTCGAACTGTTTGACAACTATTAGAAATATTTCATTTTCGTTTACAACTATGAACACTCTATGCTTGTCCTTATTTTATTGCATTCATAACAAAATTTTATATTTTCAATTATTTTCTACATCAAGTCAGGAGTTTCATTTTTTCTACACGAAATTGCGTAATAAAATTAACATTCGTAATTTGTGATAAAGAAGAATGTAATAAAAATAATTCGAATATTCAAATTTTCTCAGCTTTAGCATAAATTTGCATTCTCGTCTCTTTTCCCTATTCCCGAGACGTACTTCACACCTCCCAATTTAAGTTGTACTTTGCACTTTATCCACGTGAGGTCTTTCTCGCGCGATTTATCTCTCCCATGAGGAGAAGGCAAAGAGCTTTCTCTATTTCAGAGACACACACGAAAGCGCAGCTGCTCTCTTTTGCACACGAAAAATCTCACAAGAGTTGCATCCGCGTATCGCCCGTATCCGTCCCGTGCTCGCGATAAGGCCCGACTGAAACCAAGTTCTTACGGTCCCGCGAACGGTCTCACCACGAGTTGGGAGAGCTGGTTTTTCTCGGTTCGCACAATACGCGACAATTGCTTCATCGTGACGCGGGAAGCACGTGAGTTTTAGTGACGTGTTTCCACCTGTCGAGGCCTCCTAGACGCCGCCGCAATTCGGAACTCCAAACGTGTCATTTTTGTCGACATTGTGTGATCTTCGGTCCGTCAAAACTGAAGAGAAGCATGTTCAGACACGTGTCTTCTCGTACAAGTCGATAGGAAGAGTAATATAAGGGAATAAAAGAACAGATGCTTCTCTAATTTTCATTCCTGTTATCTAAGAACGTTAATTATGTAGAATAATATCTTAGTTGTTGATATTAGTGCACGCGACGCATATCTAAACTGTTGCATTGTTGACAATCATATCTTGCCGGTAGACGCAATTGAATGTCAAATGTTCAGCTATTTGCGATGAAATTCATTACTGCATGAAACGCTTTTATATAGCACATGTTGAAGATATTTTTGCACTTCAATATACTTCGTTACAGTTTTGAGTACACGTAAATTTTTCTACCGCAAATAATATTTACGCAACAGCTATCTACGTACACTTGGCCTAAAAGATATGGCTTTCAAGCAAATACTTCACTTATCGCCACCATGTAAAAAATTCTTATTCCATCCTTTTCTTTATCGCAAATACTTTTAATTACTTCTGCTAAGAGGCGTAATATCTTTTAAGAGACGTTGCTTTATCAAATCAGCTTAGTGCTATTAATTTATAGTCACAGATCTAGAGCAAAGAATTTTATTTTTAACCTCCGAAAGTGTTATCATTAAAATCGTTCCTTCAGTACGTCTCCATCTATTGCCCAGCATTATTATTTGAAGACAGAGTCGTCCTCTCGATATATCTCGAGCTGTTGACATGAAAGTAAATACATGCATTAGATTCGTTTGTTAATAACCGCTTCCATATGCCATTTCACTTTTCTCCGCGTGATATTTGCTTCACTCAAATTGAAACGTTATCCTTGACGGTGCTACTATAACGCGAAAATATCGCGTCATGGTATTATCGTATTAGCAGATCGCTCGTATAACGTACGAACGAGTTCACGTGATAATATCATGTTATCTCAGGGTGATTAGTTGATAGATGTCTTACTGATTATTTATACGATGCTAAATGCAATTCGCTTCTTCGTTAGTAAATTTTTATTTTGCATACTAATTTAATGTAACTTACACGCACGCACATACACACGCGCACGTATTTATCTATCTAATAATAAGTAATATTAATTAATATGTTCATAACTATCAGTCCGTTTTATCTCTCTATTAATTATATAATTAATTACGTGAAAGTTCGCGCGCATTATATGAAACAAATGCACATTTTAATCCTTATAAGAAGAGTTTGTTAAAAAACTAATCGTAACGAGTATTACATAATCACAAGAATAAATTATATGTTACGCGGACAGTTCGCTCACTATCAGTTTCTAATCACTTAAGAATTATCGAGATTAAAGAAGAATTATCTTAATTTCATTTAATTATTATATATGAATCAAGTTTTCACTTAGGAGGAAGAGAAATGGAGGGAATCATTAATACGTCACATTATTGTATTTTATACACGCAAACACATACACATACACGTTCGTTTCCTCTTTAGTAAGCAATGTTCTTCGTGATATGACATTTGCATTTTTTTATTAATTGACATGCGATAAATTATCACATATCCTTATCGTCCACGCGCGATTCGCAACATCTCCATTCGTCGGCTTCATTAGTTGTCCAAAGTTGTCCATGGTAGACAGAATAACATTAAGCGGATTTAAAACGTGAACATTTCATCCATATGTATAGAATTTTCAGTGTTGTTTACGTTCTCTCCTGTGATCGATCGCTTTCCTTACGTCTCAAGTGTCACTGCTTAAAGGCCATTCTACAATTGCGTAAACGTAGTTGTAGGGTTGTAGGAGTAGAAGTAGTAGTAAGTGTTGTACATCAAAGTAATATACAATAGAGTGAGATACGTCGTAATTGAAATGAATGATTAGTTAGCTTTTACGTCCTATATCGTTGTAGTCGTGGAAGATCAAGTTCAGCCATCTTTTACAACAGGCTTTACAATCGGAAATGCTAGTTTAAAACTGTGTTTTACAACACTGTACAACCGCTAACAACCACGTTTACGCAATTGTAGAATAGCCTTAAGTTAATCTGTATGCCACGGTCTTAAAGGCCATTGTACTAAAGTTTCGGTAGAAATCGTAAGGCTGTAAAGAAATCGACCAATCACAGTCAAACATTCTTACTACGCCATGAGAATTCTTGATTGGTCGAGTTGCTTACGACCTTACGACTGAAACTTGTGTATACACGCAGTAGTCTTAACTCGCTTCTAGACTTCAGTCTGTATACGCCTTCCTTTAATACCGAAAACATGACGCCCCGCCTTGATAGCTTTATTGTGCACAACGCGTCGAAACGAAGAGAGAGAAGATGGCCTTCTCCATTCGATCGTGGTCGCTTTTCGCGTGCGCATCAACTTTTTTTGCTGATCCGGAAGAAAACGGAAATTGACGAACGTCCGACGGAAAGTTATCGCTATTGAAATTAGTTTGCTTGGCGATCTTCCAGTTGATAACCAATTCTCCTCTTTCTAATCCATTAAAACTGAAAAACTTGCATTTTGAGTGAACTCTCGAGTGACAGTGATAACGAAAGTGCAAAGAGACACCGTACAACAGTTTCAATGACGGAAGTGAGTCCTCCTCTGCTCGAGTCCCTTCCGCAGGTAAAATAAAAAGTTGAAGGAAATTGAAATCGGTACAGCTTGCGAGTTCAGTACCCGATAATGCAGAAAGCTGAATCTCACACAGCCGTGCTACAGTTCTACTTTCTAATTCATTAAAATGAACATCACATAGAATTATAATACAACGTGGAATATATTAAATGAAATTATCACACATAGATAATGAATATCAGATCTCAGTAGGAACCGAGCTAATTAATTTCTTATAGAGCTCACCTCGGGAACTCAATTATACCGATTTCACTCCCAGTAGCAAAAAGTGCTTGTCTTTCAGACATTCGTACATATAATGTTATGCTTGTGAATAGTGTCCCAAGGTATTATTATAAAACAAGGCCTCTTTTTAGACTGTGAAACTCGAAGCGACGACTTTGGTTCGTATCAAATATATACGTGTGTTGTTATCTTGCGCGGTTGCATGCGGCTGATAAGACAACGGCTTATTCGTAGTGCTTCTGGCTACAATTATTGGTTATTGTCACGAATTTTGCCGGCGTTTCTCAATAATGCGAATGAATATCGACGAGTCCCTTGGGAAAATATACCGTGGAGAACCTTCGAATTTTACTTTAGAAAAGTAAGAAATGTGTAAAGTAAATTTGGACACTTTAAACTTTTATTTAAGGTCAATGTAAAATTCACTTTAAGAATTTAAAAGGATACTTTGAAAATTTTGTGAAAAGTATGCGATATATAATTTGTAATGCCGCGTGCGGTTTTCCTTTTACGAGAAAGTGTTATGCTACACGGCCCTCTAGCGGGAACTTCGGCAGACTTGGCTATCTCAAAATTACTTTAAGCGTCCAAAATTACTCTAAGTGCCTAAAATTTCTTAAGTAACCTTTTATCTTCTTTAAGTGAACTTTTAGATTTAAAAGATTATTTAATTTCATTTAAAGTAAACTTTCCCAAGGGATTTCCTGTCTGTGGTAAAGAAATTCCATTATGTATATTAATTGCGCGATCATATTTAATATTCGCCACAATAAAATACTAAACCGCTAATTGTAAATTTCATTAACACGTTCTCATTGACATAAACGTTAATTAATTTAAATTAATTTCATTAAATTGACATTAACATTGATTTAATATAAGATAATTAATATTTAAATAACGTATTTAATTAATATGTGCTCTCGGGTTTACTATCGAATTATAATCACTCTCGCCTCTGATCTGCTATCGCGTTCATCTATTGTTTTATTTTATTTTTTATTTCATTACACTCAACACAAGGGTTTATTAAATAAATTAGTAAAAATATTTCGATACCATTTGCAGCAAGGCTATTTGATCGTGGCGACTTCAAAATGTCGTTACTGATAGATGTATCTCTCTGCAAGCGCGGCATAGAACTCGTATGTATCCAAAAGAAATGGGGTCATCGGAAGATAACGGTGAGAGATTGGAAATTTATTCGCGTATTCCTTTGCACGTCTTTTTCCGCGGTGATTCATCGTTCATTCCTGATGTAAGATTAACATTTAACGTCGATGGAATCTTGTGTGCCGGATCACGCGCAGCTAATCGTATTGAATGACCTTTCTCGACGTTAAATTTCGCAAAGAAAATTTTTATCTAAGGCTTCAGCTTGGTTACTAGCTCGATCAGGAATAAACAACAAGTACGCTCGTTGCATTCATTCAATAATTCCTTGACGCGAGATAGGATTATGCAAATAGTCTGTTTATGCTGCACGCATAAGAAGTTCATTGCCAGGCGATGGTCGAAATCGCATTTATTATCTCTTGAGACAAACCTTTAAACAGATCTTTAATCTACGCTTTAATTTTGAATGGAAAAACCAACGCATTGAACATGTGGCTCATTTCTATAAACGGTAGCCGCAACGGTGCCAAAGTTTTTCGCCGGGATTTAGGTAACTCGGGGTCTGGCGCTCTGTCACAATTGGACGCAGGTCGTGGCAGAAGAGGTTTTTATAGGCCTTAATTTCTCTAACTGGATTCTCGGTTAACGCGTTACATCTCGGTTAACAAAATTGCATCGCCAGAGAGCCCGACACCGGCGCGGAATTGCGCAATGCTGGCCCGATGCCACACTTGGCGCCGGTGGCTTCGCGAGTCGGTCTGCGGAGCGTCTGCAGCCGATGGCAGTGGCATCGGCGACGACGGCCGTCGTCGGCGATTCCGTCGGGCACCCGTGAACGACTAGCATTGCGACGGCGCATTCATCAACTGATACCATCATTGATAGGCGCGCGCGTAACGTCCGCGTGTACGGACGGCGTGCGACACGGCTGTGCGCGCAAACATTTTCACGTGCGTGGCTGGGCGATGTGGGCGGCGGGGGACGATGGACAAGGGACGTTTGGCGAACGGTGGATGGCTGGATGCTCTCGCGAGCCCCGCGATACACTTAGTCCACGTCCGGCACATCGCGACAGCGTGAGCCGCTCCGCGCCTTATCGTCCGCTTTATCGGGGATACCGGCGACGAGGTGTAATCGGGGGGACCGATGGTAATCGGGGTCTTTGCCATCTTTACGGAAAATCACTCGTGAACTTGGACGCGTCGCGGGAGATTAACGATGCGCGGTGCCGCGAAGATACGATCGTGAATCGGTGGGACCGACGGTTTGCTCGTGTGAAGTAAACGAGAGTTCACTTAATTTGGATTCGTGTCTTTGACAGTTACAAGGTGATAAACGTGTGTAAGGCAGTTGGTTATTTTAAGCTAGATACACCACGATCGTTTCGCTGGGACTTGTTGCACTGAAGTTTATTATGTGTTGCATCGAAATTTGTTATTCGCGTAATAACTGAGCAGAAGTAATCGTAAATGATCGAACATTTGCGCAAGTCGACGTTCATTGTTAAATTCCATTCCTGAACTTTTGTACCTTGTTTATACACACAGGTAATTGATTTCTTGCATTTGCTCACTCGCTTGTGTCATTTTCTTTTTCACGAGTTTACTTACTCTTTAATATTGTTCAATTAATCATTAACGAAAGTTAGTATCATCTGTATAGTAATGCAATGGAATATTTTGATATTTAGGTTTACTTCGCGTGATATTAACACACATAAGCGAAGATCAAAGCATATTACTGTAAATCTAAACGTGTGACAATATTTTAAAACGTTGTAATATGGAGAGACATTAGAACATTTTAATGTTTAGATAATATACTTGAATTGAAATATCACAGCGTACAAAAGTATTTTAAGAGAGAGAGTGAGAGAGAGAGAGAGAGAGAGAGAGAGAGAGAGAGAGAGAGAGAGATTTAGACTCTTCAGTATAGAATAAAATTTATTTTCCAGTCAAATGTTATCTTCCAAGCGTTTCGAAATGAATTCATTACAGATATTCTTCGTAAATCCATCTCTAGTTATTTATTATTATATAATACTTGGATATAATTTGGCGATTAATAACTCTCGGGAGATAATGACAAATCGAGGATATATCGCAACACCAGAACACACTTCTCTGCAGAGCCGTTGAATTATAGGTTCCACATATCTGTCGCGCAGATGTATTCAGAAAGGATATCGCTGTTGCAACTGAGTATGCGGAGACGAGATAATATGACTGTTAATCATATCGCTGTTTTTGTCTGAGACATGATCCGTATGCAATCAGAATTTCTAACTTAGTATTAATTTGAGACTGAAGATGTTCTTAGAGACGAGCAACGAAGACTCGACTCTATCTCTAATGTTAATGCATTTTGTACGTATTTGCCGATGTCCCGATTGATTGTTTCTGACATTTTGATGCTGTTAAGTGCACGTTTGATCAACATGCAAAGACCCCCCACGCACAAACGTCCGTGCAAACACGCAGCTGCATTCTCGCGAGATGATTGTTAGATCGAAACGGCTTATTAAGTCCTAATTGCCAATACCGTGATCCGCCATAATCTATACGGCAAGTTTCCCGGCGGAATCCGCAAATGGAATCCGTGAATGAGTAGATTGATTTTCGATGTAATTTCGCAACGACGCTTCCAGGCAGCGCAATTAACGCAGTGCACGTTTCTCAGAAGTAGAGACGTTTTATAAAAGCTCGATTTAAATGTCGATGTTATTTAGCGCTCGACATTTTCAATGCTTCTGGCACTTGATACTTGAATTTTGCGTTTAATTCGAGACCCGAATAGTAGAAGGGGGAGAAAGTGAGATCGACGTTTGTTTGGATTTTAGGAAGTAAAGCGGCCTCAATAAAAAAAGGAAGGACCACCTTGGTGCGTCTCTCGATGATACTTCTGCTCGATTTGATCAATCTCGTTATTACTCGATATTAATGACGTGACGGAGTTTGGCACGAAAGTTTGACGGAAGTTGCGAACGGACAGCGCTATTAATTAAAATGAGTGGATCGTCTGGCGATTGCAGCATGCAACCGACGCAGGTGAATAATTTTATCTCGTTGAATGAATAAAAATCACGAACGGACGTCGAAAAGAATTGAGGAAAATCAGGTATCGAGGAAACAGTCTTCGCTTTGAGTTGACGCGGTATTTTTAGCAGCCCCGCTATTCAAATCCCGAATTACCGAAGTGATAGTCGCACATACCTCGCATTTATCTGCGGGATCTATATTTCAAAAAAAATTTAATGGACTTTTCTCCCAAAGAGATGACGCCACGGGATTCAGTGGAGAATTAAAGTCAATATAATTCCCACTTTTACGCGAAACTGCATTAAAAACCCGCTTTGATGTCACTTTTACCACTAATAGCATTAATTCAATATGTACGTAATTTAGCGTCACTTTCAATATATATGTCTATGCAGAATTGATTCTCAGGCTTCTTCTAACCGACAAAATATAGAGCGGCGGGATATTAAAAAATTGCGCGATATTTCGACATCTGGCGAGTGAAAAATTGAAAGGCCGAGAATAGATGCCTCTGATTCCAGGAGATCAGGGTCTATAAGAGACGATGGCAGATCCTCGCGCTCTTCGTGGTGTACAGCGCCAGCAACTCCATGCAGTGGATTCAATACAGTATTATTTCCAACATTATAACGAAGTATTACAACGTTTCGGACTATGCAGTGGACATGACGAGCATGATATACATGATAACGTACATACCGTTGATATTTCCCGCCAGTTACCTGCTCAATAACTTCGTAAGTAACGGTCGCGTTAATGACACGGTAAAATGGAACAGAGCGGAAGTGTACGATATCTCGGAAAATGATCGTGTGTCTGCTGCGAATTTCTTCCGCGTGCTCAATTGTCAATTACCAGGAAGCGACGATTGGGAAATCGAGCCTCTCGGTTTTCTTAGAAACTTTTTTTGACGGCGAACTGCGTCGGCAAGTAGAGATTGCGGTTTATTAAATGTTTTTCTAGTGCACGTAGGACGTAAGACATTTTATCTGAATGTCGCTGAACGATATAACGCACATCTCGTTCTGTTTACGGACGAGTTTTGCCGTTTGCCGGGTAATAGCCTGGAGACAGAATCGTATGACGTCGAACGAGATAGTCGGATATCGCGGAATCTCGCAGATGATGAAGCGATACGGAGGAGATTCGCCTTTTCGAAAAGTAACTTCCAAGCGATGCCCGAACAAATAACATTTTACTGCAGACAATCGCGGATATCGCGGCTCATTACTGTCTGTGCAAGCAGACGAATGTACAGGAGACCGTTTGGGATTTTAGGGCCTCAGGTGTACGGTGATCATCGGGGCGCTGGGGACCGTCATCGGTTCCTGGATCAAGGTGTTCAGCATAGCCCCCGATCGCTTCTGGGTCACGTTCGTCGGACAAACTGTGGTGGCGATCAGCCAAACCTGCATTTTGTCCGTTCCAGCTCGACTGGCCGCGGTATGGTTCGGGGACAACGAAGTCAGTCGGGCCTGCGGCATCGGTGTCTTCGGCAATCAGGTAAGGAAGTATCTTTGCGTGTCATCAACCCTAACGCGATATATCCAGGATAGAATTTACATTCAAACTTCGAGAGGCTTGAGAAAACCTGAGATTTTCTCGCTCACTCTTTTTCTCCGATTAATTTCCCCAAAGCGTTCAGACGCTTCGAATTATATCAAAAGTCTACACGGGAACGAAATGTGTCAACAATATCAGTGTAATTGAAATAAAATGGTTGAAACAACGTCAGTATTAATGAATAAAAAAAGTCAGATAGTTCAATGCTCAGAATTAAAATCCATACGAAATACAATTGAATGAATTATTTATGTTTGTGGCGACCTGTGACATCCACGTTTAATTTAAGCAGCTGTATTTTTTTTAATTCAACAGCATTTTTCCCGTGTAGATAAATTGTTTTATTTTCCCTCAAAAACCTCGGGAATTTCCTCAAGAGAAACGTAAGAGGCGAAAAGAGGAAAATGTATAAGCAATGTGAAACATAACTCACGATTATATCTTTTGCTTTTTGGATAGTGTAAGAACTGCAGTTTGCTCTACCATAAGTGTAGAAACTGCTGTGTTATCTCCGTGTAGATATCATCGTGAGGATATGCGAAAAAAGCAAGGAGTAACGACGTATCATCTGTCTGCAACGTGGTAAACTTCGCGAAGAGCATGCAAATTATTAATCAACGTAATAAAGTCGCTCTAATTACCCGGATCAAAGCGCGAGATAATGTTGGCATCGTAATTTGATAATAAGTCAAATAAATTCGACGCTTTTGACGTCCGCGATATTAATTAAATATCTTGTATCTCTTTCCTCGTTTGCGCGAATACAGATTGCTAATATATAATTGGTTATTATACGAAATAAAATTACAATATATATCTTGACCATTCCATCTCTTGCAGTGAATTAATAGCTCCCGAATTCATTGCACGCGCAACAAATTCCATCGAGCGTATATTTCAATCTGATTTAATTCTATACAATTTCGATGGTATTAAAAATTCCTAAGACTTTATTAAAAGCCTGGGGTTTCAATTAAAATTCTTAGCCAGCAGTCTGTCCCGCCTGTTTAATTTAACTCGATCTAACTCGATCTAATTGTACGTAATTTCAATCAAGGCGTTACCGTTCTGAAAATTTCTAAGGAAATCTTCGCGCAAAGCTCGTCTCTTGTGTTAAGCGCCCGCTATTATTGCGTAAGGCTCGAATTTGCGGTGTCAAACGCCGTTGTGCGGTAGCACTTGTTATTTCACGAACGTAAGAGGAGGCCACTCGACATTGTCACCCGCGACACGTGTCACGTGCGTGCAGACAATGAGAATGGATCCCGCGTGCGGAACAACGGAAGTGACAGTCTGGAGTACGCTGCTGATCGACGAGGAGGGTGCATCGGGAGATTTAAATTGCGACGTGATTAGGTGGGAAACCGAGTCGAAGTGGGCACCCACGTTTAATTTCGCTACCTCGACAGACGAACGGCCGTGTCTGCGCGGGGAGAAGCGGACTAACGGCAGGAAGGGAAGCAGGGGGAGCAGGGGGGGAGGACTCACTTTACGTCGCGAGGGATTCAATTGATCCAAGGTGCCGTGGCGTCGCTATCATTTTATCAACCGTCGCGGTCGTACTTTATCAGGGAATCCGTCGCGCCTTAATTGCACGCTGATTTCGCAATACGATAAAACGGAAGCTCGAGCCGATGCATTTTACATGTCTGCAGTTGCAAATCCCAGCATTTCGCGCCGCGCTAAGAATAATCGAATTATCAGGGGGGAATAAAGGAAATTATCCAATACCTGACCTCGTCCTTCCTGTGTCTTCTGCCTCTAATTTCTGATAAGAACAGAAGATGTAAGACACGTTTGTGCAATTATTGGAAAGACGCATGCAACGAATACGCGGTGTTTTTTGGTAAATATACATACAGAGGAAAATCCTCTATTATGAAATAGATTTTTAATAAGACATAGCAGGTTTTCAACATCCAAATTCAATCACAAATCTCTTTTCGCAACGATTACGCGATTTAACAATGAATTTTCCACTGAACAGATTGCACTCTGAGAGCGATAAATTAGTGGAACCAACAGATGATGCCTATTAGTTTAATAGAAACCTCGCTATCTAATTTAGGAGCTTATCACATAATAGGGGACTTTCCTCTAACATTGGCTTTTTGACATTGAATTATGTATATACGGAAATTATGTGTGTAACCACTGGCAACAAACATATTTCGCTTTCATAATAATGTGCAAAGATGCATTTGAATAATGTTAACTTCATTTTTTCGGCACAATGATTCTGTTCTCAAGACAGAGATTGCCATGTATGTTGTAATTGAGGAAGACCTACGAGTTTTATACACAGTAAACATTTCTTTCTGTTCTTTTCCTGGGATTCAACGATCATTTCTTAGAGCGTTTGTCACTCGGATTACTGTTGCAGCTGGGAATCGCTATCGGTTTCTTGTTTCCGCCGATGTTGGTGAAGAACAAGGAGATCTGCGACATCGAAAGCGGGCTGCAACGTATGTTCTACATCGTCGCGGCTATCACGTCGTTCGTACTAATCCTCATACTACTCCGTACGTGTACATAATGTTCAGCTATCGGTTATACAATTACGCATCCTGACGATAAGATCCCGAAGTCAAGAAATTTAAGGGACGTAATATATGACGTGCAAACGGAAATAGACTACGTCGATTCGAAATATTTCGTCCCAACCAAGAACTTGTGAAGACTAAGAGTAAACGAAAATCATTGAATAGAAATTAACTTTTAAGCTACATATTTAATGAGAAATTATTAAATAGGGGGACTCTTTGCGAAATTTTATATTTATTAAAACAGATTACTTTATGGTATAATTGCTATCGTTAATTCATAAACTATTTGTTACTCTATTGCTATTACTAAGTCAAGGGAATACATATACAATAGAGGTAAGTCCTCTATTATGAGATAGGTTTTTAATATGAGACAATAGGTTTTCAACGCTCAAATTCAATCGCAAATCTTTTTTTCGCAACGATTTCGCTCCAAGAGCAATAAACTCACGGTAGAATCAACAGACGATGCCTATTAATTTAGCAGAAACTCCACTGTCTCATATCAGGAGCCTACCTCATAACAGAGGACTTTTCTCTACATGTATTTTGCGTGAGCGGGGATTGGTCTTGCAAATTGAAATTTATTCATTCGATTCTGGGATTTTATCATCAAGCGGCGTATATTCTTCCATTCTCTCACTCCTAACAGAAACCGGTAATTTGTAGTCTTCAAGTCGGCACCGCCTCTGCCACCTAGCTCCGCTCAAGCTGTGCAAAGAGAGAAATCCGAGAGCAGCAGGGAGGTGAAGAAATTTTTTGACTCTATCAAAAGACTGTTCTTGAATCGCGGATATTTATTACTTTTAATTAGCTACGGCATCAACGTCGGCACCTTTTACGCCATAAGCACTCTCCTGAATCGACTTGTCATCAAACAATTTCCGGTAAGTGCCTTATTCGAAGATTGCGCGTACTCTCTTCTCGAGTCCCGCTTCACTTTTCAATTATGAATGTTCGCAGACTGTAATTATCGATATAATTATCTTTTACGAAAATCTGCATTTTTTTAATGTACAGGCTCTGAGAAAGAAATTCGGAAAGCGCTATTTTTAAATATACTTTTCCATTATGTATCTGCTTAACAAAACGAATTGACAGCCATTGCCTTCGTTTTAGGAAAGCGAGGAGGATGCTGGTCGAATCGGCTTAACAATAGTTTGCGCCGGTATGATGGGCTCAATTGTGTGCGGCGTTTTACTAGATAAAACACACAAATTCTGGTGAGCAATCGTTATTTTACGAAATCGTGAAATTTTAGTATCTTATCTCAAATCGAACTGATTTATAATAATTATTATAATGGTAAACGTTACGAAGTTAATAGGAAGCTTTGGTTCATGTTAAATATTTTATCAAATTAAATCAGATTTTATCTCGATTTGTTTGACGGAAGCAAATGCACGCGATTGAAATAACGCAAGAAATTTACAGGTGGACGACGGTAGGAGTGTATATTTGTTCTTTGCTGGGTATGATAATCTTCACTTTCACACTGGACAAGAATGTGGGGATATACGCCATCTACATCACGGCTGGCATTTTGGGGTAAAGTTCAATAACTATTTTCGTCATACATAAAACTTTTTTATTTTTATTTTCTTGGCTTTTCACTCGCTTGATGCCATTAAAGCCCGCTGCAGACGATGCTATTTTTTCTGCTGGATTGCTTGCAATTTAGTAAATTACTATCATTGCACCACTCAGCATTCAGGATTCCTAGTAATTTACTAAATTGCAAGCAATCCAGCAGGAAAAATAGCATCGTCTGCAGCGGGCTTAAGTTAAGGTATGATTGATCATTTAACGTTTTACACCTTGACTGAATTTCGTTCAAGATCTCCGTCGTCAAAATTTGTTTCACCGCTTCCTTAAAAATTCAGAAAGCGTGACGAACAACTGAGTGGGTCGTCTTTGGCTTGAGAGTATCTCGAAATTTTATATTAGATCACGTGAACATTTTTACAGCTTCTTCATGACCGGCTACCTGCCGGTTGGTTTCGAGCTCGCCGCGGAGCTGACGTTCCCGGAGCCGGAAGGAACGTCAACGGGCTTGCTGAACGCGGTCGTGCAGATCTTCGGCATCGCCCTCACCCCGCTCTACCGCTATCTGCTTAACATTTGGGAGGATTTGTGGGCGAACGTGACGCTGTGCGGTATCCTCGCAGCTGGCGTTTTACTCACGACTTTGATACCTAACGATCTGAGACGTCAGAAAGCGAAGGCTTGACCATCTGAGCGACATTCGTAATAAGCGATGAGTTTCCGCTGGAAGAAATAGTTTTCGACAATACTCCCCGTAACTTGTTATTCCAGTCCATTAGGACTCATCCCTCGAATATATGTTGTGTGCCGGAAGTACCGTTTTCTCTGAGCCGCGTGTGTATTCATCAAGAAGATATTTTTCGAAGAGGCTAAAAGGATCAGTAAGGGTCCTAAAAACACAGCTAGATAGTATGACATGAAAAGCGTTTACTTCTCGTAGGGCTTTCAAATTTTTCTAGAGAGAGATTTAACACTTAGTGCGCCTAAGTGCCGAGATGCCTAATGTTGAGATTTTGAGTGTTAGGAAGATGTTCCGAATAATAAATCAATATTTTTATGGAAAAGTTGATAGATGGATTTATCAAAAAATTCGTAGTAAAAGAACAAAAACAATTGATTTTAAGAAAGTCGAGACAGAAAGCTATATATATATATATATATTTGAGTAGATATATATATTTTTGTCGTCATTGTACATTAGATGCAGTAGAAACAAAATGGTCTAACAGATATGTGTATGTAAAAACGACGAGGAGAAACAAAAATCGTCGGAAAATTCTTGATCCTGTTGCTAGTTGAACTTTTTAACCTCAGGTAAGCGGTAGTATTTAGACGGTATTATGCAGTAACGAATTATCTCTGAAAATCGTGAGAAATCAGAATCGAGGAGGAAAGTTATCGTGAGATAATAATTATAAAAATTAATAGAAATTTACCCGAGGTTGCGGAATTAGAAGTTTTAATCTACGAGAATTGACAATACTGTTTGAACTTTAAGTATTTTTCACTTTCTTAAATTCCCGCATTTTAATTTTGTCAACAACGAATGGTAGTCAAGAAGCTAAACATAAATTTCTTAGTTAGAGCAGTTAAAATATGCTAAAGCGAATTCATTGTTGCATAATGTCCATTTAGGAAAGAGTTATGACCTGAGCCTATACAAATTGTTATCGGGCAGATACTATCGCGAAACGATAGACGTAGTAATTAAAAGTGATAAGCGTAATGACAGTGATGGTTCGAATTATAGCTTTATTGCGGTAATAAATGAATGTTATATTAATACGTAATAAATAGAAAGAACGATGGTCCTCGACGATGAACACAAATTCCATCTGTATTATCGCGATATTAATGGTTGTCGATTACTGTCTAGTATAATCGTTGCATTAAAATGATAACTATATAACGATCGTAATATTGCAATGGACGTGATATGTGATTTTATTGCCGCAGACTTTCTTGCGTACTGTATCTACCTAGTTTAAATCATTGTCATTTACGCAAACCCCATTTTTAATTGCTCGATTGTTCGCCTTGTGATAAAAAGTTATTTAATTCAAGTTTAGAGATATGTATATATTATTTTCCTACTTCGTATAATACGTGTACATATATACATATATACATATAATCCTCTATTCTGAATATATATATATTTTTCAAAAGACAAACATTTTATTTTTAAGACGTATGACTATTTGTAAAAATTTCGGTTGACCGTGGCGTCCATTTACAGATGATATATTAATAATACACGTAAATATTATATGTTTCGAAAACTGAAATTACCGTAGTATTCAGAAAACGTACAGCCGCGCTTGAAAATTTATGTGTTCATCTCGTGTGTGCCATTCATTTAATTTCAGATTCTAAAAGTGAAAGCGTAAGAGTACTTACGTCACGCAATATTAAATATGCTTCTTCAAGACCGTACGAGCGAATAGCTATTACACCACAAAGACACAATCCGAAGGCGTTCGCCTTCGAATCAGCGACAAATAAATCGTCTTCCAATGTGATGTTTCTTCATTATATTTTTTTAGGCCATTTATTGTGTGTTCCCACAAAGTTCTATTTTGTAAATAAAATGTTAAAACGCTAATGCAATATTTTATACAGTCATTAGTCACACCTTAGAAGAAACGTATTAATCTTTATCAATATATGTATAAAAAATGTATTTCACATATCTTAATATTAGGATAAATTATTTCATACATAATTTTGATATATAAAAAAATTAATATATCTTTTACAGATAACAGGACTTTGAAGATCTATCTTATCACCACTGAGGTATACTTTTATTTAAGAAATTTTCTATCTTACAATTGCTTAAATATTGTGTTCTCGATAATGTATGCGCAATGTGTAGTGAGATGAGAGCTCACCCTATTTGACATTGATTTGAATGAGGTAACATGATTGTAACGCGTTCTTGCATATTTATTTAAATAGTGTCTTTTGAACGTTGCGACAAATATAAAAAGTTTTCCATGATTCGAATATGAAATTACAGATAACAAGGATAAAAACTCAAAAATAAGTGTATTTTTTTTTACATTCGTATTTGTTACAAATCCACTTATTCAATGAGTTTCTTCATCCTGAAGAAGCGTCGGAAGTAGAAGAGTTGCCAGGTGGACAAGCCGAAGAGGACGCATATCGAAAACAAACTAAAGTACAATACCCGAGTATTCGTAGCCTCTGAAACAAAGGAAGATTACCAGATCGTTGAATAGTGTATCGAGCTCCAATTATAAACACTTAATTATCAATTAATTAACATTAACATTATCAATCGCGTTAATATAGAGGTTTGAGTACACAATTCAAAGTTATCATTCTTTTTAACTTTAAAGCTACTTTCTTCCACTATAACAAAAAGTAATTCTTTTCTTTACCGTTTGTGTCTCTCATTTCCTCTTCGTTTTTGCGCATCCTGGCAAAATCTTGCACTATCGCCTCAGACAGATCCTCCAACCGTTTCAATTCCACTTCTACTGGTTTCAACTTGGCTGCTTCGCCGATCTAACAACGAAAAGGATAATCATTTTTATTGGAAAACTGCGAGATCCTCGACGGAAACCTTAGCGGCCTCGTTAATACTGCGTGATACAATTGATACAAATCAATCATAAAGAACCCAGCTACAACAGAATTGAAGCCAAATAATGGATAATTTTTCTGCGTGTACGTGTTTTGCATAGAACGAAAAAATATTAGGCAATGTGATATATAATACAATGTCTAATTGCAGCAGCTTTCATTTTTTAGCATGTCAATGCGACAAAATCAGTTAAATTTAGTTAGAGAGTAAATGCTCTCATATACTTATTCTCAAAAATCTCATCTCAAACACAAGTAAAAAAACTGCACAACTTTCGCTCAAAATTGCTTAAGTAACATCAAATTAATATTTTAGCTCGCACTTTCTCTCTTAGAAATGAAAAGCTCTGAACTGTAGCGCAAGTGTTTCAATTGTAAGAATGTTGTACATATAATTATCCAAATAACAAGGTGATGTGAAATGACGTCTCTAACGTCCATGAGACGTCATTATAACGTCATTTGACATCGTTTCGCTACTTGGATAGCATTCTATGTTTTTAATATTACCGCAAAAGAAACGGAAACAATTGGTGTTAAAATGTGTCACTGTTATGCCGCTGTTACGCGTATAAGGATGTACCATTAACATTTTAAAGCAATCTGGCGATAGAAAGAATGCTCTATGCTAGAAACAAAATTTTCAGCATATGATTTTTGTTCCAATAAGATACAAGTTCAAGTTGTGAATGTGACCAAGCCGAATATAATTAAAGCGTTCGCGTGGACGAAACAGATCCAGCAACTCCTCCCGTTAACGGAACATCCGCGGCAAAAGCATGCACGCGTTAATGAGACTGCGCTGCGCTCTAATAGCTCAGTTCTGAAGCTGTCAATGTACAGGTGCCGGTTTCGTGATAAAACCATGATAAAACGCATGCAAACGGGAAACACAATATCGAAAAACCTCTACTTTACCAACTGCACCGCGGAAACAAGCCACATATAAAAAGAAAGTAGACAAAGTAACGTCAGATAGAGTTTCTCTCGGAGATCCCCCCCGAGTACGATAGATTTAAACAATTCTTTCTCCTCGTAACGGAAGAAACGTCTACATTAATCGCATGTACAAGCGGACTTACGCCTTCGTAACTCTTCGCCTCGATGCCGCGTTTCGTGATCAGCGTAACTTCCTGCTTGACACCGCGCTGATCTGAAATAATTCTCACGTCAGAATCGGCCAGGATATTCTTCCAAAAAGAATCACTTTACACAATGTTTTATATAACAATTGTACACCTTTGTACACTGACCGGCGATAAATCGTTTCGCAAGAGGGGAATTGTGTTGTTCCCCCACTCGTTGATAATTCGTCAATCGTCTAGAGTGGAGAAACAACTCTACTTCACCGTCTTGCGAAACGATTCATTGCCGACGACTGTACATCCTCTAGATAACTTTTTTAATATGTATCTGTCCTACCGCACTTGAATCATGTCACACATCGTGCAACGAGCTGAATTAAAAATTAGATACACGTGTAATATAAATGGCACGAGATACACGTACGGTTCGGGAGACGCGAAATGAAGCAGATCTCGAAGGTGTCGTAGGTTTCCGTGACAAAGGAGAACTTCAACAGTTTCCCGTGAGGAATGTCCTCCTTCTGCGACAGTATGTGTCCCTTAGAGTCCTGAATCTGCAAGAGGCGAAGTCACCGGCGTGAAACGTATGCATTAACATCGTGACTTTAGGAGGGGAAACAAACCGCGAGTTCTGTCACAGCTGTTGTCCAACCGCCGAGGGTCAACGTAAACTGTCAAGTGGCGCTCGGCGCTCCCGCGGGAGGAGCGTCTCGGCGAAGGACGAGCGGGCTCTACCTACCACGTAATTCGTCTTCTGACCCGGCGCCTCGGACACCTCGTACTCGCCCGTGACGAGCACGTTCGCGTGGACCTCCTCCTTCAAACACTTGTGACTGTTCGGCTCGAGGTAGAACATGAGGCCGTGGACCTGGGCGACCAGGAGAATCGCCAGGAAGGCTTTCACGTGAGCCCGAGACATATTGTTCGGCGTCCCGGACGATCGTCCTGAGAAGAGAAACCGCGCTTCCGTGTCACCAACGAGGGGCTACGCGCTCGCACATCCACAGCATCACGATGAGGTGGCAGCCACATTGGCCATCGAACACTGGCGATAGGTCAGAGAGGAGGCCGACTCTGCCGGGGTGTCTCCCCCTGGCGGGAATGTTTTACAGAAAGAGAGCGGTATTTGAAAACAATCTTTCCTGACTTATTCCGTCTCGATATCGTTTTGGCGACATTTTAATAACAAATATTCTTTTTACTTTGAGCTTCGAGACTTGTATTGAAATTTAATCAACTTCCGAAATAATCAGCATGCAGAGTTTTAGATCAGGTGACCTAAAGCTAAACCCTGATTGGCTCTCGTAAGCAATCCAGTAGGAAAAATAGCATCGTGTGCCGTTGACTTTAGTCCCAGGCTACAATAGAGATTTAAATGAGGCTTTAATATAATTGGACATAAGATTGAAGAAATTAATCCAATCATAGTCGAACGTGAGGAGAATACTCGACTGTAATTGGCCAATTTCCTAAATCTCACGCCTTGAAAATCTCATTGCAGACACCGCGTAGGTATTTCGCGTAGTTTGTGGCTCCGCGAGTCTTGTCGTGTAAGCAAAGCCCCCTGCGTCTGCACGGTCTGCACTTCTCCCCTAACCTCGTCTAACCCTAACCTCCAATCGCGGGCGATCGCGCTTAAACGTGCTCTGGTGCTCGACATATGCTACCGTCGTCAGAATGGTCCTGTTGGAGAACGACGCGGTAAACTCGACGTCCCGTCGCCGATATATCGCTCTCTCGCGTGACGACTAATCGAATTTTCGTTGCAGTTCTTAACGGAGTTAACCAAACTCTTTGACAAGTCGCGTTTCTCGGGCTCGGTGTCGCTCACCATCAAAAGATGTGAGTATCCTCCGGTTTTCTGTGTATTCAGAGTATCCATTGCCGGAGCTAAAGAGCGAGAACGACGGTTCTTCAAAGTAGATAAGATCGTTTGAGGGGGGGCCCTAGCAGCCCTTCATCTCATAAATTGTGTAGCTTCGACGAGGGAGAAGGAAAGGGACTCTCTGAGGGCCAGTTTCACAAACGTCGGTTGACGCCCTATCGTTTACCCTCTTATCATTTAAGAAGAGACGGAATCAACCTCGGCAGTTAACCGACGTTTGCGAAACTTGGTCGTGAAAAATTGTACGTCTGTACGCTTTTCTCACGCCGCTTCTCGTTTCAGTTAATGGACACAACAAGCCGGTGCCCAGGAAAGGCAAACCTCCTCTACCGAATCCTACAGAGTACCATTGCCTGGTCCGAGCGTCGCTTCGCAGTAGGAAGATCTCTACCGTAGTACGTATCCTTCGCCAGCGGATGGCATTAGGTGAATCGCTCGCGCAACTCCAGGACATGATTTTTATCTTTCAGATCCATTCCAAGGATGTAAACAAATTCCAGCAGGCATATTGGAATCTGTTGAAGACGAATATAAGCGGGCTGAAGAAGCTGAAGAAGACGAAGTCGGCGAAGCCGAAGGTTCACTGACCCAGCGAGGGCTAGCTGCGCGGCAGCTGTTCATTTCTTTGTTATTAAAAACTTTCGTACTGTGTCTCTCTCTCTCTCGCATACTTGTCGACACCTGTCTACTGCGTAAGTCCGGCGACGGAAGGCGCGTTTTACGCAGCACTTTGTATAGACTGATGTATAAAAGATTAATAATACTGTTATGAAAGTATATACGCAAGTATATGCGATCGCTAATATATAATCGTGCACACTTTCGTGAACGTGACGCAATCGCGATGGAAACAACAAGGGATAGTTCTTAAGAGTCCAAGACAGATAATTGTTTAACGATCGGTAGGGCAGAATTTGTTTAAGTGGAGCTTATATCTATGTGTATCTAATATAACACTTTTCATAATTCATTGTTATATCTATTTTCTCTTGCTTTCGCATTGTGTCGTTTGGGTGTGACGGATAATTTTTCAATGCGAAGCTTGTACATAACTTAGACATAAGAACCTCTTGACGATATCTTCAAATTCTACCGTTGTTTCTCTAGATGCGAACAGTAGAATCATAGGCGACGTGAACTCGAGATATATCATTCCCCTAATCGCTCGGCGTAGAAATGTTTGTTGCGTGACGCGAAGTCTTTGTCCCTGTTCAGCGAGATTTATGACGCTAGACTCTTGGACGTCGCGAGTATATCTAATCGCTTTATCGCTCGTCTGCGGGTCGGCATAATAAATCTTTTTCGCGAACGACAATCCCCCGAAATATGATTATCTAATGGCTGCGAGTACACGCGGGCGGTTTATTTTAAACCGCTCTGCATTATATTTTGCGAATTTGTTAAAACTGCAGCCGTTCGCGCTCGTATCTTACGTTTATTGCGCCTCGAAATTTGGCTTGCGTTATTCTCGGCCCGGGTGTCTCATCGCGAGAATTCTGCAATCGTGCACCTTCGAAATTATAGTAGTCGCGAGTCCCCAACGTCGACACGACTCGCCACGTTATTTTGTTCACTTGGCAATAATGTAATCGAATGAAGAGTAACGGAAAGGATCAATACTGTTCCAGGATGTCGCTCGATTTTATTTGTCGCGAATCCACATCTTGAAGTAATCCAACGATTCGCGCGTGGCATTGCACATTGCGCGAGTATTCTTTGGCACCGGACCTGAACGTAGACCATTGTGCAAAATCCCTGGGGGCCTGCCAATGTAATACGTGGTGTAACGTGAATTTATTGTTGTATACATTACGATCGCGAATAAACAAACTCGTGGAAATCACTCCTCGCGAGTTCCCCGATTGTGCTCGTTTCGTCGTCGGGGAATGACGTGAATTAGATGACGGAAAATTGAGGCTTATTTCTTCTTGATATCTTTATAGCGCTGCATATTTTCAATTTCCAGGAGAGCGAACTGTTAAGTTGATACCGAAAGGGATTGTAGAATATGTGTTTCTTTTTAGAACAGGGTATCTATCATGGAAATGTTCGGAATGAATGTCGAGCGGGATAATTCCGTTTTCCCTAGAAAACACGAAATCTAAGAAATAATTGAGCAATTCCGAACGTTTCCACGATAGATACCCCGTTGCGATTTTCGCGGTAGATATTGGAAGGAGTCACGATCGTACATTTGTGGCAACGAGACTTTTTACAAAATAATAATATTGCGCAGAGATAAATTGACACGACAGGTAGAAATGAATACCGATCTGTATTCGAGGAGTGTTCGGGGTGTTCGATGATTACCTTGACATGATTGTCCAGTTCCAGAATGCACGAGCTCTGTATTTCGTTCTAAGAATATCGTTCTTAAAAATATACATTTTTCTGGCGGTGAATCAGACCTCGAAGCAGGGTTTCGGATAAACGGACCAAGCTATAGACTGAATATCATTAGAGGAAGAAAGTGGATAGTTCGGACGCGAAGGAAAAAGGCGATTCGATGTAGATTAGATTTCCAATGAGCAAAATCGCGTGTCTCCGTTTTGGCCCTCGGCTTTCAAAATCATCCTCTCCGACTTCGTAGGTCTTACCGCCAGTTGAAATGACATTTTAATAATCTTCCGATTTTATCTTTAACTTTGTATACTTTTCTCTTTTTATTCCTACAAAAAAAGGGTGCATTTTAACGCGATCGCGTCTCGCTAAAGTTCGAACGGGAGCTGCGTCGACGAGGGTGACTACGTCCTTAACACGAATCTATTTTTTTTTCGCGGGTGCATCGGCGCGGGGGCCGCGGAGTGACGCAATTCTCGTTTCGTTCCCGCGAGTCATACGTGCGTCGTATACGAGGTGGACGCGGTCGCGGCGAAGAGAGGAGAGCCCGGACGAAGAAGAAGCGGTACCGACGGTTCGGGGAAGCAGAACCGTACGAACCTCCATCGCGACCGCATCGTCGTCGCGTAATCCCTTACCCTTCGCACGCGCGCAGGAGAGAGAAAAGCAGGAAACGTGCCCGATTGTTCGACCGACGCATCAGCGGTAAACCCTTTGAGAGCGAACCGAAAGAGCCCTAGCAGCGACCATGGTTTACGAGAGCGACTTCTACACGACCCGGCGACCCTACTCGCGGCCGCTCGTCTCTTCCTACACCGTCACGGTCAGTATTCTGAGACTCTGGGGTTGCTTGTTCTTTGCGCCAGGAGAGAGAGAGAGAGATAGAGAGAGCGCGGGCTGGAAGTATGTTTTAATAATGGTTTTTGCTACACGTGGCAAACTAACGTCGAGAAAGAGAGAGAGCCCCGTTTGCGACAGGAAGTGTACCATCCTCTGTAACCGCCCAGACTCAGCACCCCCGTATGATCTCGCTGGACCGCGCCGACGTCTCACCGGCCGCCCCTCGTCGACGTTTCCTCCCGCGAGGACTAATCCGCTTTTCGCCGGTGTTCAATATTCGAAATGCTTTCGTCGATCCGAAACGTAGATCTGTGAAGGTAGACGTCACGCGTCGTGGATTTTCAGTGACGGAGCGAGGATTTCACGCTCGTACCATCGTCGGAGCACGCTGTTTGAGCGGCGCGTGAAAAATCGGTCCGGGGAGAAGTAATCGATTCGAGCCGAAACGGGTTAAATAATTAATCGATGATTGACGGGGTAATTATTGCGCGCGATCGCTGGATGGGGTCGGCGTTTTATTTATGACACGCGATGTGACGATGGCTCGCTCTGTAAATTAAATGGTTGAGTAATTTCCCGGGTCAAGTTTCTTTCGGAGAGATGTAGATCGCGAATTAAAGCGGAAGAAGCACTCTTTGTACCTTTGAAGTAATCGTCGTTAAAAATTGCAATTAAAAAAGCACATTTTGGCGATATTTTAAATACATTTCGCGCTTTTATAAATACATCTTTCATTTGTTTAACTGATGTTAATTTCTCGGTGTCTATTAAGAGTAGCGTCTCGGCAGAAGGAGATTAAAACGAATGTCACAGAATGCTTGACTTGCAATTTTGCATATTTTAATACTTGTCAAAATATCAGAATTTTATGCGAACGACGTTCACTACTTAATGAGTATTCAGTCTGGCGCTTATTAACCCTTAACCCGCGATGTTGACGAGTAAGATTCTTTATCTGCCGTTTTCACAATTATCGAATATCATTTCGGTATTCACTCAGTTCCAAAGTTATCTGAAATAATCTAAAAAAATCTCATTTAAGATCGTTAATCTTACATGACCGAGGGGTAAACCGCTGAGGGCATTGTGGTGTACAGATTTGCGGCATTACTGGGCATTACTAGGCATTACTAGACATTTTTTGGACATTAGCTTGCGCATAATAAAGATAAAATAAGATAATAAGATAAAGTAATGCCCATTGGGATCACTGATGCCTTCCCACATGAATTTGTGCACATATCAACGCATTTATACATTTTGCCAAGGTTGGCAAGTAACTCGTTACTTGTAACGAAGTTACAGTTACAGCTACTTTTTTTTTGGTAACTCTAACTTAACTTCGCTACTTTCTCTCCGTCTGTGACTGTAAATGTTTTTCTTAAACCTCCACAGATCGCATTAGGCCTTACATAAGCGCATAAACGCCTGTATCGACACTTAACAATTTAAATGCAGATTTGATATTTTTATTTTCATTGCAAAGTAACGGTACGTTACTTTTTGAGTAACTGCAACTATAACGCGTTACTTTTCAGAATTGGTAACGTGTAACTGTAACCAGCTACATTTTCAGCGAGAAACCTGTATCTGTAACTAGATACTTTTATATAAAGTAACTTTCCCAACCCTGCATTTTGCCTACACATACATGGAAAATGCGTATGTGTTCTACATGCGCCTAAGTTCATATGGGAAGGCATCAGTGATTCCTAGGCCGGTACTCATAGTGTGATCTTATATTCAAGACTGTCCTAAGATCATCTTTAGGGCCTGAGCAGAATGACTGTCTTGCACTCTTAAGACAATGTTTTGTGTTTTAAATCTTTGTCTTAAAGTAAGGGCCTGAGCAGAATGGCTATCTTGTACTCTTCAGACATAAAACAGTTATTGTGCGTTATCTCAAGACAAAGGGTTAAAACATAAAACATTGCCTTAAGGCTGTCTTAAGGATATAAGACAGCCTTAAGACAATGTTTTCTGTTCAGGCTCTTAGATACTCCGTAGCCAATGAAATGTTCCATACAGCATCTTTAGGTAAATTCCACGCGATCTTGAATATAAGATCTGGCTATGAATAACCGGCCCTAGTGTACATGATTTTGGTCAGCGGTTTACCCCTCGTAAATGACAAAGAACGTTAATAACGTTCCTCGCGCGAAGAGGATGCGCAGGTGAAGAAAAAAGGAATGAAGGTCGCGAGTGAAGGGTTGATTCGGCAGAACGTTGCCGGAGTGACGAATCAGAGCCGCGCGCGGCGATCGAAAGGGTAACGCTGACCCGCATTCGGCCGGTCGCGATTTCGCCGCTGTCGGTCACGACCGACATCCCGGTGAGACGTCGAAGGTGCGCGCGAAGCGACGAGTGAGAACTTGGCACTTGGTTCCCTTTATCCCCCTCCGGTTCGTCGACGAGGTCGATCGACGACAGAGAGCGAGCGGCGCGCGACCGGAAACTTTATCCCGGCAATTACATTGTTCTCCGACCTGTTCTCCGTCCTCGAGGGCCACGCGGGTGGTCCTCGTCGCTGCTGTTCGTCGTCGAGCTCGACGCCGCGACTCGCCGAGAACAGATCTCGACTTCCACACTTCACTCCGAGACCACTGTGTTCACCACTATTACTACTATACTAGCACTGTACTACCAAATTTACTACTACTATATTACCGTCACTACTATATTACCACTTAATACTGTACTACCGCTCCTGTGCTCGAGAACGTGCACTCGGTGTCCCGGTGAACGGTGCCCGGCTGACCCTTCAGGCCGGGAAGATTGAAGGGTACAGGGGGGTACGTTGAAACAATTCGGGGAAGCTTTCGGAAACCTCAGAGGACATAAGTTCCTGCGAAATTATTAATCGTATATCCGCGTATCAGCTCGGAAATTAATCCCGCGAAATCCCTCACGGCAATTCAGGGAGAGGTCTTTACTTTTCTTTTTCAATTTTCTCTCATTGTTCTCTCGAAGGGTATACTTGCAGAGATACCTGTAGAGTTGCGAGCTAGCGTGGGTCCATCCGGCAAACGGATCTGGATAAGGGCCCTTCCCGCAACACTTGTGATTTATTTTTGTGTCTCTTTTCGCTCGTGTTTAGCACGACTACTCTTGACGAGTTCAAGGGGGTAGCATTAGTTCTTGTTCCGTGGTTACGCTGTCCATGTCCATGATCCCGCAACAATCGGGGGAGTTGTCGGTGTGCGTGCGACAGGACTCGCCGCACACCGTTTGTGCTAATCGCAACTCGAGCCGTTGTGAGAGAACCCGACACGTATTTTCTAACAAACGGTAGATATTTGATGTTGAATAGACTTCGGTAATTGTCACGCGAATGAATTCAATGCTAATTAAATGCGGTGAAAGCGGAGAGCGAGTACTGCGACAACATGTCTTTTCAATTTTCTTATAAAACTCAAGGAGTCATTTTGCGACGGATTCTTCGTGTTTTTGGACATATTACATTATATACATATAGAGATATTTTTAGTAAATTGCTGACCCATAATTGAGACTCCGAACGAAGACAAAAAGTATGGCTGTGTAAAAATAACAAGAGTTTGAAAAGTTTACTTTTTAAAAATAATATTTATTAATTTGTAGTTTCTTTAACACATGGCGAGGAATTCAGCCTCGTGTATTCAAACCTTGAGAAATATTCTCTATACTATATCTAGATTTTTTCATCGTGTCATTTATTTTACTCGTTAGAGGTTCGACTCCGTTACTATTTGGCGAGAGGCTCTGTCTAGACATAGCTAGAATCGTCGAGGGATCGGAAATCTGGGTTAGCTTGACGGATTGCCATTGATCATTAGTCCGACGATAAAGAAACAGCCTAAGGTAGCGAGATAAATGGCACAACGTTGATAAGAAGTTGCTCTTGCGAAGAAAACCGCCTGTCCGAAAGTTATGTTTAGCTCTTGGCTCATCACAGCTGAATGTAAATTCTTCGCGTCCGAAACGCCGTTAATAATGTTGGAGTATAGCAATCGCGATTGTTTTCAAAATTGGAAGATCGCTACTAGACTGTTAAAAAAAACAATAAAATGTTATTGCGGAGTTTTTATCTAAAAACGCGCCAAAACGGATTTCGTTCTGGAAAGCGATGAACTTTAAGAGCAAAAAGTTTTTTAATTCAGGATAAAATGGCTGTCAATTAAAAATGAGATTTTCCACAAATACTCGTAACAATTACGCGTCTTAATCGCCATTTATCCGCGCATAATTTTCTTCCGTGTATTTTCGTCCGTCGAAAATAACAAGGGAAATAAATGTCGCGATTTGAAAAAGGCAACCGTCGATACCGTGGAATCACAGGCATTTTGGCGAGTAACAGTGAGAGGCCTGTTGCGTTTTGGAAACTGCTACGCATACTCCATCGTGGATATCGACGTAAAGTCTCTAAACGTATCCTGCCCGATTCGGATCGTCGGCCAAATACATTTTTCTGCCGACGCGGATTCGAGATTCGCTGGGTCGCGCGGCCGTCTAAGTTTAACACGACGAAGTCCCGGAAAATGGCTGCAACGCTATGAATAGCTTCCGTTCTGTAATTCCCTGCCCTCCGGCAGCTCTATTTATAATAGGTTTTGGATTTTCTGATGTTAGGCGGCTCCTGCCGGTTTTATCCTGCGCTTTTTGCCCGGGGCGTGGGTCGAACGCGCGAGAATCTTGAGATTTTCTCGTTGAGACGACGCGTTCTGAGAGTTCGACGAGATATCGAGCCGCCATACGGCGATCCGCGTTGTTTAATACTGGCACGAGCCGCTCGTGCTTAATACGTGTCTATTTATAAAGATTAAAATCAGGCACGCTCGGCAAAATGGATGGACGTTCTGGCGCCATCGTCCGTAAAGAAGTTAAAGGGACGGCGCAACTTCGAATGCAATTCGTCCGTATTTTTCAAATGAATGCCGTAGCATTTTAGATTAGCAGAGTAATTCGCACAATAATGCTACCTCGCCAAACGACGTAACACTAATT